GATGGAATGAATGGATGGAATGAATGGATGGAATGAATGGATGGAATGAATGGATGGAATGAATGGATGGAATGAATGGATGGAATGAATGGATGAAATGAATGGATGGACTGAATGGATGGAATGAATGGATGGAATGAATGGATGGAATGAATGGATGGAATGAATGGATGGAATGAATGGATGGAATGAATGGATGGAATGAATGGATGGAATGAATTGATGGAATGAATTGATGGAATGAATTGATGGAATGAATTGATGGAATCAAATTAATAAATGAATTGATGAAATGAATTGATGGAATGAATTGATGGAATGAATTGATGGAATGAATTGATGGAATGAATTGATGGAATAAATTGATGGGATGAATTGATGCAATGAATTGATGGAATGAATTGATGGAATGAATTGATTCATTGAATCAATGAATCAATGAATGAATGAATGAATGAATGAATGAATGAATGGAATGGAATGGAATGGAATGGAATGGAATGGAATGGAATGGAATGGAATGGAATGGAATGGAATGGAATGGACTGGACTGGACTGCACTGGAATGGAATGGAATGGAATGGAATGGAATGCAATGGACTGGACTGGACTGGACTGCACTGGAATGGAATGGAATGGAATGGAATGGAATGGAATGGAATGCATGGAGTGGAATGGACTGGAATGGACTGGAATGGACTGGAATGGACTGGAATGGAATGCATGGAGTGGAATGGACTGGAATGGACTGGAATGAATGGAATGAATGGAATGTATGGAATGAATGGAATGAATGGAATGAGTGGAATGAGTGGAATGAGTGGAATGAATGGAATGAGTGGAATGAGTGGACTGAGTGGACTGAGTGGACTGAGTGGACTGAGTGGACTGAATGGACTGAATGGACTGAATGGCATGAATGGCATGAATGGCATGAATGGCATGAATGGAATGAATGGCATGAATGGCATGAATGGCATGAATGGCATGAATGGCATGAATGGCATGAATGGCATGAATGGCATGAATGGCATGAATGGCATGAATGGCATGAATGGCATGAATGGCATGAATGGCATGAATGGCATGAATGGCATGAATGGACTGAATGGACTGAATGGACTGGATGGACTGAAAGGACTGGATGGACTGGATGGAATGAATGGAATGAATGGAATGAATGGAATGGAATGGAATGGAATGGAATGGAATGGAATGGAATGGAAAGGAATGGAAAGGAATGGAAAGGAATGGAACGAATGAACGAATGAACGAATGAACGAATGAACGAATGAACGAATGAACGAATGAACGAATGAACGAATGAACGAAGGAACGAAGGAACGAACGAACGAACGAACGAACGAATGAACGAACGAATGAATGAATGAGTGAATGAGTGAATGAGTGAATGAGTGAATGAGTGAATGAATGAATGAATGAATTGGATGAATTGGATGAATTGGATGAATTGGATGAATTGAATGAATTGAATGAATTGAATGAATTGAATGAATTGAATGAATTGAATGAATTGAATGAATTGAATGAATTGAATTGGTTGAATGAATTGAATTGATTGAATGAATGGAATTGAATTGATTGAATGAATGAATGAATGAATTGAAAGAATTGAATGAATTGAATGAATTGAATGAATTGAATGAATTGAATGAATTGAATGAATTGAATTGGTTGAATGAATTGAATTGATTGAATGAATGGAATTGAATTGATTGAATGAATGAATGAATGAATTGAATGAATGAATGAATTGAATGAATTGAATGAATTGAATGAATTGAATGAATTGAATGAATTGAATGAATTGGATGAATTGAATGAATTGAATGAATTGAATGAATTGAATGAATTGAATGAATTGAATGGAATGGAATGAACTGAACGGAATGGAATGAACTGAACGGAATGGAATGAACGGAATGGAATGGAATGGAACGGAATGGAATGGAACGGAATGGAATGGAACGGAATGGAATGGAACGGAATGAATGGAATGGAATGGAATGGAATGGAACAAACGGAATGGAATGGAACGGAATGAAAAGGAACGGAATGGAATGGAACGGAATGAATGGAATGGAATGAGTGGAATGAATGGAATGAATGGAATGGAATGGAATGGAATGAAATGGAATGGAATGGAATGTAATGGAATGAAAGGGAATGGAATGAATGGGATTGAATGGAATGAATGGAATTGAATGGAATGGAATGAATGGAATGGAATGAATGGAATGGAATGAATGGAATGGAATGGAATGGAATGGAATGGAATGGAATGGAATGGAATGGACTGGACTGGAATGGAATGGAATGGAATGGAATGCATGGAGTGGAATGGACAGGAATGGACTGGAATGGACTGGAATGGACTGGAATGGAATGGACTGGACCGGACTGGAATGGAATGGAATGGAATGGGATGGAATGCATGGGATGGATGGATGAGTGATTGAGTGAATGAGTGAATGAGTGAGTGAGTGAGTGAGTGAGTGCGTGGGTGAGTGAGTGAGTGAGTGAGTGAGTGAGTGGGTGACTGAGTGAGTGAATGAGTGAGTGACAGACTGACTGAATGAAGGAATGAAGGAATGAAGGAATGAAGTTATGAAGGAATGAAGGAATGAAGGAATGAAGGAATGAAGGAATGAAGGAATGAAGGAATGAAGGAATGAAGGAATGAAGGAATGAAGGAATGAATGAATGAAGCAATGAAGAAATGAAGCAATGAAGGAATGAAGGAATTGATGGAATGAAGGAATTGATGGAATGAAGGAATTGATGGAATGAAGGAATTGATGGAATGAAGGAATTGATGGAATGAAGGAATTGATTGATTGATTGATTGAATGAATGAATGAATGAATGAATGAAGGAATGAATGAATGACTGAATGAATGACTGAATGAATGAATGAATGAATGAATGAATGGATGGATGAATGAATGAATGAATGAATGAATGGATGGATGAATGAATGAATGAATGAATGGATGAATGAATGAATGAATGAGTGAATGAAAGAATGAAAGAATGAAAGAATGAAAGAATGAAAGAATGAAAGAATGAAAGAATGAATGAATGAATGAAAGAATGAAAGAATGAATGAATGAATGAATGAATGAATGAGAGGATGAAAAAATGAGTGAATGAATGAATCTTAAATGAATGAATGAGTGAATGAGTGAATGAGTGAGTGAGTGAATGAATGAATGAATGAATGAATGAATGAGTGACTAAATGAGTGAATGAAAGAATGCAAGAATGAAAGAATGAAAGAATGAATGAATGAGTGACTGAATAATTGAGTGAATGAATGAATCTTAAATGAATGAATGAGTGAAAGAGTGAATGAGTGAGTGAGTGAGTGAATGAATGAATGAATGAATGGAAGGAACGAACGAACGAATGAATGAATTGGTGAGTCCATGAACCAATGAATCAATGAAGCAGTGAATCAACGAATGAATTGTGAATTGATGAATCAACGAACCAATGAATTGATGCATAAATGAACGGATGATTCAGTGAATCCATGAATTAGTGAACCTGTGAAATGATGATCCAATAAATCAATGAAAAAGTAAAAGAGTCATTCGGTGAATCAATGAACGAACGAATGAATGGATGAAGGAATGGATGGATGATGACTGAGCTACTTCTTTGTTGAGCTACTTCTTCGCTGAGCGACCTCTTCGCTGAGGTACCTGTTCTCTCAGCTGCTTCTTCTCTGAACAGCCTCTTATGTGGGCTACTTCTTCTGCGACCCCTGCTCTCAGCTTCCTCCAAGTAGCTTCTGCAACCCAATTCTTCTCTTGGCGCTCGCCGCTCCGAACGCCTCAGCTTTTAGCGATTTTTATGTGAAATCCAGCTCTCGCTACAGTCTGGTGCACATTTTGCCGACCTCATCTTCCAAAAGTGCGCGGAACGCTTCAGTTGTTTCGCATTTTGAAGTGCAAATCGAGCTCTCACTAAAGTCCTGCGCACTTTTTGTCGACAACTTTCCCAGATCGAACTGCAACCGCGGAAACAGAGGCCCTGCTTCGGCGACGCGGGGAGCCACTTTACCCGAAAAAACATTGGGTTTCCCGCCCAAGAGTGTTTTCACCCATGAATTCACACGCTCTCGAACTGTTACTCTTCGCAATTGCTCCCCTACGCGGGCTGCTTGCTCACAATGCTATTGATATTGATGATGATGATGATGATGATGAAAAAACAAAATCGAACTCTCGCTACAGTCTCGTGCACATTGGGCCAACAGCCAAATACTTCAAATCCATGCTCGAGTGCCATCAGTGTCTGTCGGTATCTTTCAGTTCTCAAAGATGTTGACTAATCTGGGCGTTGTCAAACCTGTCAAGTCCGTCCTTCTTTCTTCCCGGTCTCTTCTGTTGATCTAATGTCGGAGCCTCCAGGACTCGTTAGGGCTTTGGGAGCAGGGTACTCATGCCAAGGACATGCCAGCATATTGGGGCACTTGTTTAAAGCCAAATCATGCTGTGCCTGTGGGCTGGTGAAATCAAAGTTCAAAGATACGGCGAATTCTGGATGTTCCAATGGAATTCTGTGGAAGGTACTGGTCTGCTAGCACACACTAAATGTTTTTTTCAAGTCAAAGATTTTTCACAACAGGTGAAGACATATTTCACATAATTTGGTTTGCTTGGCTGTCATCTTGGCCATGTTTGTCCAAGTCTTTTGTCATACTATGTCAGATTTTCACTGAAACACAGTGGCTGCAACGTCACCAAACGCACTGTGCAGAGACGATTGACGCGGCGTTCACCATGCCTCCAAAGCGATCTCGCCTAGCAGCGCCTTTGCCGCCCATGCGACGCGCTGACCTCTCAAAATGTAAAGAAAAAGCAAACTGTCAGACTCTCCCAGACCTTTCACCTCGACACCTCTCGCCTCTCAGATCTCCCAGAATTCAGGATATTTACTCAAGAAAGGTAGCTGGCAAATATCCCGAATTTCGGCACTTCAAGATGCGCGGATGAAAACACTGGAAGAATTCAAACTCCCCGCAAGCATCGTAAGCAATCAATTGAACGTGATTGAACGTGATGGAATATGTGTGTTTCAAGTTTCTCAAGTTTCAGGGTGCATTTGACTGGAGTGGACTCCTTGGTCCGGACTTCTGCGCGGCATTGCCACTTGCACTCGAGGCAAGACAACTTGTTTGACAACCCAAGACAACTTCTGCACAAAAGCCTTCCTAGGGAAGTTAATGTTGACACATGTTGACAACGTCCTTCATCAGGCTACTTCGGCTACGTGACGCCAAAAGGGCATTGCGGCGCTGAATTCGACACAGTCTGGGCCTGACCATTTCTTCGAACCAAATAGGAGTTTCCTGCTTGGCCTGACACGCGCTGAAAATCACAAATGCCACATGCGCCTTCTGATGTCTTTACTATTCTTTACTTCCATGCCAAAAGGGTGTGCAAAGAAACATTTGTCCATTTCACTTGGATTGTGCTGAATGATGCCCCGGTTCGGTTCCAACTTTGCTTGAGGAGATTTTTCAGCTGCAAGCGCCACATGGCTAGCTTTGCAAAAGCTTTAATAAAAGGAATTCAAAGGGCAAAAAGGCAAAACAGAAAAAGTAGAAAAAATGCAAAACATAAAAGCATTCTGCACTTGGCCCGCCCATGGCCCACCGGCCTCCACTAGGATGTCATACAAGTCATGCAAATATGTGCATTTCTCGTTCACAAAGGCAACAGCTGTGCCCTGACACCGGATGAACCGGCTGCAAGGCTTGGCTCGGGATCTTTCGGCCCTCTCTCCTAAGATCTCCTAAGATCTCCTAGATATCTCCCTCTGATCTCCGAAATATATCTAAATATCTCGTATACTGTATTATCTCATACTTCGCCTAGTTCTTGTCCTTCATCGACAGATCAGCACAAACAAGAGTCGCATGGCTCTAAGGCTGACCAACTGAGAGTCTACCGATCATTGCTTCAAAATGCTTCAAAATGCTTCAAGTCTCTAAGCGTTCGGGCGTTCATCTCGTTGGAGTCTCGATTGCCAGTGCTTGGTAGTTTGTGCGGAGTTTGCAAACTGTGACAAACTCCAGGCACAACCGATATTCCGAGTGTCAGCACTGACAGTGCTGTCAGTGTGCACCACTTTCCGTCCTGAGCCCTGCCTTTCGACCAGCACGACCTGTTCGGCCAATTCGATGCACATAGTCGTCCAACTGCCTCAGGTCTGAAACGTCGTCGAAAGTGTGTCAGGAAACAGTCTCGTTACGCATGTTGCGATTGGGCCAGTACAGGGCCCATTACAATGCCTCCTCTCAGAGTCTCTAATCATCTCTAATCTATCAGAGCTATCACAAGCTTTCTTATCCTGAGAACTGAACTTACTCCAGACATATTTGTCGAAGTTTCGAAAACATATTTTCAAAACAAATTCCAGGTAGAGAGGCCAAGGAAAAATCCAATCGCTATCTCCAAGCATGCTTCGTCAAACCCGGCCCTGGGCAACACGCTTGGGCATATCGAAATTCACCACAAGTGACACATTTGGAATGTCCAGCCTGTCAGGAAATTGAAGATATGTAAACGAAGGCACAAGACCGAGTTTGAAACTAGATGAAACAATGAAACTCAATGAGACTCAATCAGACTCAATGAGACTCAATCAGACTCAATGGTGTTCCAAGATTTTTACCTTTTTTCCCAAAGATCCCTTCTGTAGCATCTCTACAAAAGTTCCATCATGCGCTCTGAACATGACCCTGGAATCCTGTCAGGGTCGGAGTCCTCAACATGAAAATATCAGCGACGCAGAGTTTCTTACTGCAACAGAACAGCAGAAACTGCGTCGTGTACAGAACTTACAGAAGGTTCAAAGCGCTACCAGCATATCGACATCTTGGCGCCACAGCTCCAACTTCGGAATAGTAAAAGCACGTTTGACACAAAGTCGTAGAATACATTCCAATGTGTGTATAACGTCATATGACTATATTGAATCGTCTTGAATAGTCGTAGAATATACTATATGACTATATGTATCCGTGTGTGTATCTATACATATTTATGCCTGCGGACCGAAAACCGCGCTCGTAAAACGCACGTTTTTGAATATCGCTATTTTGGGGTGGGGTGGGGTGGGGTGGGGTGCGGGGTGGGGATGTTAACGTACCTTGTACTTCGTACATGATCCATTGCTACGCTGCTGAGATCTCTGGGATCGTTTACTACGTTACATGTTGCTACGCTGCTGATGGGGTGGGGTGGGGTGTGGGGGATGTTAAGGTACCTTGTACTTCGTACATGATCCACTGCTACGCTGCTGAGATCTCTGGGATCGTTGTTATGTTACGTGGGGTTGGGTGTGGTATTGAGAAGACAATCTACCGTCGAAATGAGAAGATCAGTTGCCATACTGGAACCATTGATGCTGCATGGTCTGCTGTTAAGAACTTCATCCCCAATTCATTGAGTTCAAAAAGCAAAGATCTTCTATCTCGACGCTGAAACGCCTGCTCTAACAAAGGATGAAAAAGGGTCTTGCACATTTTACCAAAAACCCACACGAAACGCAAATTTGGCAAAATTTGCGCGCCCAAATTTGGCCAAATTTTGCCTATCAAACTGTGTGTTTCGCTGTAGCGAAAACAATATTTTTTTTGAAAACGTGCGTTTTGTGAGCGCGGTTTCCGGTCCGCCGGGATATTCATGTATCTGTATGTACCTATATGATCCTATATGTATCTACATGTATCTATATGTGTGCACATGTAACATGGGTGTGTAGGTATGTATGTATGTATGTATGTATGTATGTATGTATGTATGTATGTATGTATGTCTGTGTGTATGTATGTATGTATGTATGTCTGTCTGTCTGTCTGTCTGTATGTATGTATGTATGTATGTATGACTGTATGTATGTATGTATGTATGTATTGAAAAATTCACAGCAGCTTTCCCCTGTTGAATGCAGTGTTGAACACGCGCAGCTGTGTTGTTTCTCTCGCTGTTGTCTCTGGGCACTGTTGTCTTGAGCCACTTGAGCCAAACGTTGTCAAACGTTTGGATGTTGGTGTACAGGTATGTTGGTCTACTGTACACATACTTGGATATTAACACGGCCTCTTGACATGTTGACAATTGTTGTCTGCATGTCATCACAAATAAAATGTTGAACGCTAACTGTTGCAAACGAATAACTACATTGTTGGTGAAAAGGACATTAATTGGCTAAATGTTGAATTCACTGTACACTTTACAGAGTGAAATGTTGATCAAAGACGTTGTCTATCGAAATAGTGTACGTCTGTTGAACTGAAAATCACTGTTGAATTCAACTACTGTTGATGGTGCTGTTGACCTCACGATTCAACTCTCAGTTGAGGTAGGTCTTGTTGCACTCATCAGCTCTGTTGTTTTGATGCCTTGTGGCATCAGGGTGATCTGAGCTCCACCCTTTGTTGGTGGCGCTCTCACTCGCCCTGTTGCATCATGTTGTCCTCATCGTCGGACATCTTGTTGTGGTACTCGTTGAATCCCAGGGCATACTCCTCCCAGGTGAATGTGTTGTTCACCCATTCAATCACCTGAGAGTTGCCACGAAGACGTTCAGGCGTCTTTGTTCCTGCCAACTGAAGTTGGCGTAGTGGCTGATAGTTGGACGCATCTGTGAGGAGCGTCCAAATGCGCTGACATTCTTGTTGTGGCAACTTGTTGATACATGTTGCCCCTGCGTACTCCACGGCCTGTAGCAAGGCCTTCCAGTGATCGCTGTTGTCATCCACCACGAGGCTTGTTGGGAAGACATAGTTGTATGTCCATAAGTATCCGTTGCCCCATGACAGAGTTGTTGCAATCCTGGACATGATGCTCTGGTCATTGTTGGATTCCAAAACCCAATGTTGAGTTGAGGCAAGTTCATCTGTTGTGAACTTGATTGTTGATCCAGCTTCCACCTGTAGTTGGGGCATCAAATATGCCCTGTTGAACAAGTTGATGCTCTTGTTGCCCAGCCGCACTAGCTGTCGGCCCTTGTTCACTGTGAACGAGGACAGGATCATCTGTCCACTGTTGGTCGTGAAGTGGCCCTCAGTGTAGTGGTAAAGGGCTGTTATTACAGCCTGTGTTGGGCTCCTGCTGAGGATCACCTTGTCAAAACTCGGCATGAGTGTTGACCCATTGATCCCCTTGATCTGTTCTGTTGCCACATCCTTCATGGCTTCGTGGAGTTCTGTTGTGGTGCAAAGCCACCACGTTTCCATGTCGTTGTTGTAGGTCTCGCCGTGGAATGCCTGTGGTGCCAGGCATGTTGCGTTGACAACCGATGAGAGCTTGATGGCTCGTGTTGTCAATCCGATTGTTGTCAAAGACAACTTTGCTGGCATCCTGATGGTTGGCTCTTTGATCACGGCGATGTTGGTCAACGACATTGTGTTGATTTCCACGAAGATGTTGATCTTCACGGTTCGAGCTGTTGAGAAATCACTGTGGCTGCGGAAATGAAAACGAAAATGTTGAAGCTGGCTGTTGTCAACAAAATGTTGACATTCAAAAATTGCACAAATCATTCTGTTGAATTCTTCCACTTGTTGGACCTGAAGCTCGGCAAAAAAAAAGAAAACATGTTGTGTATTACAGACATGTTGTATGGGACATGTACATGTTCTTCTTCATGTGGTGCACACTCATGTTGAAGTAGTACATTTCGAAAATCACGTTGAAATACTTGATGGGATATCGTGTTGATATACTCCATGATGTAGTTACAGCGAACGATCGATCAACCATTGTTGATCCCATGGCTGAGAGTGTGAAACTTGTATGTTTAGTGCGCGCGCTGCGGTGCTTGTTGATGTTGCTGCTTGCTTGTTACAAGCTGCTGGTGAAACTGTTTGTCTGTTGCTTCAGTGAGTGTTGAGAAGCTGGATGCTGAGTCCAGCTTGTTGCAGGTGTCGTTGGAGAGTCTCTGTCGAGACATATTTGGTCAATATGTCTGCTGGGTTGTCGTTTGTGTGGATTTTGATGAGTCTCACGTAGTCATGTGAGATCAGTTGTTGTTAAACAAATGTTTGAGTTCGATGTGTTTTGCTTTTCTTGAAGATCCAATTCTTGTTGCCATACTTTTACCACTTGATGAATCTGTATGGATCTTGATGTTGATCTTGTTGATACTGAGAAGCTCGATCAAGAGACTTCTGATGTGGAGTGCTTCTGTTGCGCCGGTGTTGATGGCATATAGCTCGGCCTCTGCACTCGAGAGTGCTATCGTTGCTTGTGTCCTGCTGCCATAGTTGATTGTTGTTCCAAGCAATGTGATGAGAAATCCTGTTGTGGATCTTCTTGTTGTAGGACATCCTGCCCAGTCGCTATCCAC